ATTCATCATATGTATATACACAGTAAATCTGAAGTCTCCACGTCTAATAGTATTCAATCAATTTTTCGGCTATTCTCGATAAAAAGTTATCGGAGTAGTTATCGAAAAAATAAAGCAAACTCGTACTGCGTATGGTATACACGAAAATGCACACAAAATTTCAGCTCTATAGCTCATATATCTCTGAGATGTCGGCGTTCATACCAACAGACGGACGGGCGGACAGACGGACAGGGCTATATCGACTCAGCTCGTCGCTCTGATCAAGAATATATATACTTTCTGCGATCATTCCTTCTGCTTGTTTTCCACAAAAACACTATACTATTTTCCATTTTCAATGGGTTCAGGGTATAAAAACTTGTTTTAAGTACTAGACACTTTAGAATGTACACACATTTTAAAGTGACGTCCTGCAAGTTTTATTAAGATTGTCCGTCTACTATATATACATTCGGTCGGATGCATGTGTACGTATGTGTGCATAAAAGAAGTGCAGAATGATTAGAATATCAGCTATTAAAAATGGGAATCGAGGTTATGCCCTTATGGGTTTGCTAAAAGTATGTAACAGGCAGAAGGAGGCGTGGCAGACTCCACAAAGTGTATATATTCTTGACCAGGGCAGCCCTCTCCGTCCGTATGTATGAACGTGTCCGTCTGTCCGAATGTATCTCAGAAGATATGAGAGCTAGGACTTCAAATTTTGTTATAAATTAAAAAACTATTAAATCTTAATAATAAAATTATTAACTATAGAAATTTAATTTTATTTAAAGAATTTAAATTTTTGTTGTAATTTACCTCCTTATATATTTGTAAAAGGCGTATTTCAAATACTAGAGACTTGTGGTTTGGCACATGCACGCATTTCATAATCGCGATCTGATAGTTCAATGAAGATAGTTCATTGACAAGAAACGGTATTAATCGGAAAATGCATTTTCCGATATGTGAGAAATCATTTTAATTGAAGAGCGAGAAAGGTGAACGTTGGAATGTAAATCCGCGTCGAATACCCAAGATCACGATCTATGCCGAATATCTACGCCCATTGGGGCGTGGAAAATCGGTAAAAACTGTATCTCCTAGAATTTTGAAGCTAGGAGGATAAAATTTTGTTGATAAATACCTCAAATTTCCTATATATACTCGGACTGACCACCGAAGACCAAAAAACTTCCACGGATATATGTCTGCTCTCAAGGATAAGCCGCAAAAGTTTATATCTCCTAAACTATAAGAATTAGAAGATTCAAATTTGAATAGTTAAGTTACTAGTAACCTCCTCTAATTGTCACGCCTTTTAGGGAGCGTAGAAAAACACCCTGTCATTTGCAAATTTTTTGAGCGTAAGTATTTAAATTTTGCAGTTATGTTACCGTTAGCTCGTTCTAAGAACCAAAAGTGAGGCGTCTACAACCAGTAGATGCACGGAAAATCGGGAATTTCTGTTTTCTACAGTATTAAAGCTAAACTTAGCTACTAAACTGCTGATGGCACGTGAATGAGTATTCCGCACCCTGAATCCATTGAAAATGGGAAATTAGGGTATAATGGTTTTGTGAAAAGTATGTAACGGGTAGAAGGAATCATCGGAGACCCCATAAAGTATATATATTCTGGATCAGCACGGCGAGCTGGCCCTGTCCATCTGTCCGTCTGTATAAGTGCGTCGATCTCAGAAGTTATAAGAGCTAGAGAACTGAAATTCGGCATGCATACGCAATACAAGTTTATCATATTTTTTTGATAACTCATCCGATAACATTTTTAATCGAGAATAATTGAAACGTTTATTTTGTTTTTCAGCCTACTTTGAACACACAGTACGTAAGAACTGTACAGAAAAGAATAGAGTGATTGGAATATCAACTTGGAGGGTTCAGGGTATCTCCTAGTCGAGCAGTCTCGACTAGAGCACCTTTACTTGTTTATATTTTTGTTACAGGAAGTGAAGAGTTTATAGATTTCCTACAGTGTTCGTCCTTCTGCGTGTAGGAAATATATTATATATAAGGGAATTTAGGGAATTTAGTTTTGGAATATATTCTGGTATACATAGGCAACGTATGGTTGAAACTCTATAGTCGGCATATCTGAGCCCATTGAAATGAAAATGCAAATGCGAATTTCTTTTGTTACTACATGCTACAAAGAGAAGAAAGCTATATGCATGTATTTCTTTCGTGCCGGCCGTTACCTGCTTTGAAATATATATCTGCATATTAGATATATATAATTATATCTGTATAATATAATTTTGGGAAATTTGATATATATGTATATATATAAATATATAAATCATACATTCCTATATACATATATATAATGTTTTGTTTGTTTTTTGTATTATTATTATTTATATTGTATATATTAAATTAATTTAAAATTATCTTTTCCAAATAACAAGATAGAAATAACTCGAGAAGCTTAGAACCTTAGAATCTTTAACACAAATTCATTAAAATACTTAGAAAGGCCTGTTTGGACAGTTCTAATTGTAATGAATGGAATGAAATGGTTTCGTTCCTTGCCGTCCCGAAATTTCATTCCAATGTTAGTAGCTCCATCACTGAAATTAAAATTAAATCAATGAAGACCAACTTGACAAAAGATAATCCATTAAGCTCAGTTAATAATCAACTTTCATACTGTATGGTAATATTTATGTGTATTCAACTAAATCTGTTCTAAATAGTATCCCCTCAAATCTGAAGCAAACGGGTATAAAAATATATATTTGTATATACATATATTTCTCAGAAAAATGTTTGGCTTTAATGTTCGTGTTTTTTGTTGTGTATTTGATTAATGTTTAATGGCAAATGAAAAATCAAGAAACAACTAAAAAATTAAAATGATAAACATATTTGTAATAATAATAACAAAATGAAAATGTTACCTTCTGGGTCTTTGGATATGACTGTGGTACTGCGATCAACGATGCCTTTTTTATCTTCTAAAAAAAACGAAACGAAACATAGTTCATAATTGATAGTTGCAAATCTGTTGTTTTCCGATACTTTTGAATATTTGCTCCAGTTTATAGATTCTCGACAGCTTTTCACATAAAGAATTCCCTCCCCCATAGCTGGATCCATTTCTACTTATTTTTCTTGTATTCAATTAGAATTTAATAGTTGAAATAAATCAAGGCAAAGGCTTTTTACAACATATAAGAACTTGACTAAATGGAATTAGCGCAATAGAAAATATATATACATACACATATAGTATCGAATTAACTAGTGTAGAAACGTTTCAGTTGGGTGCAACCGGCTAATATTCGCTATGACTTGTATATCGGTTAATCAGCACAGGTTTTCCCGATTCGGCATGCAGTGATGTACCTAACTATCCACAATATTATGTTTCTCCTCCTCTTCTTCTTCACAATTGCCAACTTCCAAATAGCATTTATTTCTGCTTCTCTCTCGTTTTTTTTTTTTTTTTTATATATTCGTCTTCGTCTTTTCTCTGTTTAACGTTTTATTCCCCCTCAATTGTCGTGACCTCTCATTTCTTCAGATCTTTCTTCTCGTTTTTTTTTTTCACCTCTCTTTTAGTGCATATCCCCACGGATTTCTGCTTTTCTTTCTTGTCATATATTTCTCTCTCTACAGAGTCAAATTCACAAAATCAGTAATATAAATATATAATCAGTAACATAAATCCGACGTGTCAGGTTATCGGACAGAGCTTCATATAAACAGGAACGGATGATACAATTTCTGTACTTCCTGAACAAGGCTGGATCCAGACCAGTTTACAGTGAATGAATAGTGAATACAAACAGGATGTATTGTTATATTGAGGGCATCCTAAAGCTAAATGAAACAAAGATTACTCTCTATAAATCTAAAATATTTGGTTATTCGTAATAAATGTGCGAAGTATAAAAAATATGTTTCATTGAAAGTTAATACTTAGGCATTCCATCAACAAAATAAGTGAACAGAAAGAATTTGATACAGGCAAATAAAGTAGAATCACATTACGACAGCTATATTACATTATGAAAAGAAAATATGCGTGCGAACGAAATTAAAGGAAAAAAGCTAATCTCAGTAAACTTATATATAAGGACAAGTAGGTAAGCATTTTATGAATCATACATAAAAAGTCTTGGTTGTCTAGATCACTAATACGTATGACCTAAAAACACCTAAACACATATAGAAACCTCACTTCACTCATATAAGAACTAAAATTTAAGCTTGGATTTCCAAAATTGAACGAGTACAAAAAGAGAGCTACAAATTTATTTCCTGTATAGATATTTACCTTTAATATCATCATCCTCCAAAGTTGTGCTCGACGAATCTGTTGATTCCTTCACTTGGGATCCGTCCCCCTTTTTAGTAATCATGCTTCTGCCTATAAAGATCGGTAACATTGGTATTTACGAAGAAAGCGGGGCCAATTCTATAAGCTATGTAATAATCTTGGAATTATACTCTCTTTGAAGATTGTAAGTCTCAAAGATTCATGATCATTCGCAAAAAAATATTACTGATAGCGAACAAGTTTTAAGCCGGAAAACTTCTCCTACACATACTATACATGTGTATGTGCATACTTATATCTGTATATTTATATTTTTATGGATCACCATATAACTACTTACTAGAGAAGTTCCTGGTTGCAAGCATTGTTGTTAGTATAGCGCCCTTTAGCTTGCGGCGAGCATTGAATTTTTTGAGACAGTCCACAGTTTCCTGGCGATGCACCACAGAAGCCACACGTTCCCTTTGCTATAAATGGAGATAAAGATTCAAATTGATGCTCGGAAAAGAGACCACAAAGCTTCGACACTGGTAATACGTACACAAATCCATGGGTGTTTTAGTGCTTCAGCTGCTGTTATTCGCTTATTTGGGTTTACTGTCAGCATTTGGTTAATCAAATTCTTAGCCTCAGGCGTCACAGTGTCCCATTCGGGTGATGGATACTACAATATAATGTGTAAGGGATTACAAGATGAATACAAATAAAATGAATGACTTCGAGTGCAGTCAGCACGAATATAAATCAACCCAGTCCGACTGTGTGTCTGTCTGTCTATCCATCTGTATGAAGCTGACCGTTTCTGGTTACAGTTAACGATCCGGATTCAGAGGTCTGTCCATAGAATTGAAATTAAATATGAATTAAATATGCATTCTTACATCGTAAGCGCCTGCCTTTATTTGCGAATATAATCGATGCTGATCCTCGTCCCAAAAAGGGGGATAGCCGACCAATAATATGTAGAGTATGACGCCTATGTGGATGAAACAAATAGTCAATTAGAAATATTAAAAATTAGATAACTGAAGCTTACCACATGCCCAAATATCTACCGATTTTCCATAAGGCTCTTTCTTCAATACCTCTGGCGATAGATACCCTGGAGTGCCGGCAAATCCAAACCATGCTTGATGATCACCCTGCACTTCAATGGCTAGACCAAAGTCAGCGAGTTTCACAGCTGCACCCTTTGCCTTACTTGCTAATAGTAAATTCTCTGGCTTGAGATCCCGATGGACAACACCGTTCTGATGGCAGTGATTGACCGATTCCAATATTTGCTGTATACAATGTGATGCATCAGCCTCTGAATAAAATTCTCGTGCCACAATATCTTCGAAAAGTTCACCACCAGTTACACTGTAAATATATACATATGTATTTAGAATCAAATTTTCGGTTTTCTTTTTGTCTTTTCGTTTTGAAATCAGCTTGTGCTTTGCTTCATTTGGCTTCAGCTTGCTATTCTGAAAAGTGATTGTATCAGCTGCTGGCACCACTTAACATGCTTGACTAAGTAATTATAATCGGCAAACATCGTGTGTTTTATTTCACCATTTGAGCTATTAGGTTACAGTTGACATACACCTACGTTCTGTTCTGGTCTGTTACTCACATATTCTCTGATTTTCTTTACCTATTTTGTTTCCTGCCTCTTTCCTTTTTCTTTTCTCTTTAATCTGTTGTTATTAGTTCTGTTGCTCCATTTTCTTAACTTTTTATTTACTTTTCCTCTTGCCTACATTGTTGTTTCTTTTGTTATTATTCGTTTTCCACTGTACGGTCCTGATTTTTCCTTTTTGCGTCTTTCGTTTTTTTTATATCTTAATTACGATTTGTTTTTCGTTTCCTAACGTTTTATACCCTGAACTCATTGAAAGTGGAAAATCAGGGTATATTGATTTAGTTTTTTTCATGAATTTGAATATTCTAATTTTTTACAAACTTTTTTTATACTATATGCATATAAATTAATAAGTAACAAGTATTTTCTCAATAGTCAAAATCCATTCGGCTTCAGTGCCAATCATTTTTCAACATTCTGAGATAGGTTGCACGTTTAATATATACAATAATGTGCTCGTCTTTTTATATGAATACTTACAGATCAAAAACAAGGTAATGGTAATTTTCCTCCTGTATGCTGTCATGCAATCGAACTGTAAGGTACACGGCCAATAATACATTTATTATTATTTCAGAACAACTTTAATTTACTTCTAGTGTATCTAATCTATAGAAAATAGGTATGTATAAATAAAAATTAACTATAATCTTTTATTACGTGCTATACAAAAAAATACATATACATATTTAAAATTTCATATCCATAGATTTTAGCTTTTAGTGGATTGCGTTATACGGACAGACAGATGTACGTGACTCAATTCACTCAGCTCGTCAGCTTGCAAAGAATATATATATTTATAGGTCTACTCCACCTCCTTTGCATACTTATATCTTTGCAAAACCGTCATAGTTTAAGTTTCAATTGTAATCTGAGTTTCATATATAGATATGTTTATATAGTATACACAATATAAACTAGAATATTTAGCCATTTAACATTGCAATAGCATGGTTTGCATACCCTAAACCCATTGAAAATGGGAAATCATGGTATAATGGTTTTGTGCTGAATCGTCAGTCCGTCCATCCTTCCGTCTATGAGTGCGTCCATCTCAGAAGATAAAAAAGCTAGAGAGCTGAAATTTGGCATGCATACTCGTGTATACCATACGCAGTATAAGTTTATCTTATTTTTTCGATTAATCATCCGATAGCTTTTTTATCGCTAGCTTATTGTTTTTTTCCAGCCTCATTTGAACACTATTATTATTACATGTGATGAATACAAACATTTCGTAAATTAGATGTTTTATACCACGCCCCCTTTCGCCCCCAATTTGTAAAAAACGCTTTTCAAATACTAAAGACTTATGGTTTGGAATGTACACACATTTTGACCATATGATTACGCCCTGAAAATTACATTAGAATTGTATGTCTACAAATGCAGTTATTCATCAAATAAATTCTCATAATATTGCCCACTGCATTCGCTGCTTACTGCGCAGTTAGCAGAGCAAAAAAGAATGATCGGGGTATCTCCTAGTCGAGCAGTCTCTACTAGAGCCTTCTTGTTGAATATGAACTTATTATATCTATCTCTTCCATAAGTATACAGCCGAAATACTTCCCCTACACTACTGGCCAAAATAGAACGCAATGTGTGTATGTATATTAAGTTATGGTATACCAATATTAGGGTGATGTAACTTCCGACAGATCCTGGCTTCGCGCTCCAGCTTTTGAAAATCTATAAAAAAAAACAAAATCCAGTTTACAGTAATGATTTCAAACAAACCTATTAGTTACTCACCCCTTGCTGTTAGTTTCTTGGTATTTATAATCTTGGCCGCAAATTCGAATCCTGTTGACTTTTGGACACATCGTTTTACTATCGAAAAAGCACCCCTACAATTAATTTGATAAATTACTTTAAATAAACAAAATATTGCAAACATTTTTCACTTACTTTCCGAGCTCCTCTTTGATGTCGTAATTGTCTGAAAAACGCGTACAGGCTGCTGGAGCAGCCATCGCGATGGCACACTTGAGAAAATCTATTGTGTGTGTGTATCAATTAAAGAACCTGTATGGACTTCTTTGATAAATTTATGTTTTTCTTTTTTTCAGAAATTTGCCGGCGGGAATTTCGCCGTAGAACGTCGATATTAAAATATGTAAATTTTTTCCGCTGATTATGAACTTAGTAGTTCTATTCCGACTCGTTTATAATCTATTAAAATATTGTAGCAAATATTCAAACATTTTTTATTATTTGTTGGTTTCTACAATCTTTATTTAATGCCAAGGCTCTAAAAGATCGACTAATCTATCACACGATCACACCGAATGATCAAGCTTTTAAGACACAAAATACTAAACACCAAATAATCGATGGCAAACATTTAGAAACGCACAACTGCACTTTATACTTTCTTTATATTACTTCTCTCGTGTCTAAATCTTTAAACCAAATTCCAGAATAAATTAATTGCTCTTTACAATTAATCATTGCTGAATATAATCAAACATTGTATTAGTATATTTAATATTTACATTTTATGCGATCGAGCTTTCGCGTGATATTTAAAGCAAAAATTCAGTTTTAGTTAAGGTCACACTAATGACTAGTCTAGCTGCGATTAATGTGTAGAGCAATTTCAATAGTACCCTTGCAACGCAATATTTGGTGAAAAATAAAATGAAAACAAACATATCTTTTACTAAAAATAAAATAATTATTGATTGTCAATAATTTTCATTAATTAATTAAAGCTTTTTGCAAACAATGAATGCTGTACCAATTTTGGTACATTTATGTATGTATGTACATACATATGTACATGAACATTTATTTGTACCAAAAGTAGTCGTAATTGACATGGCAACTGAGGAAGAAGGTGGACATCATCCATATGTATGTGTGTATGTAGCTTTGACTGTATATTTGTACAATAAATTTGTCAATATAAGTTAATAATGTGTGTACAAAAGCTTAAAGTATGGATAATTGTTTTATTAAAATTATGTGATTCGCACTTTAATTCTGTTTATATATGTATGTGCATATGTACCTATATGTCCATATCCATATACCTACATACATACATATGTATGCGAATTAAGGAGTTACCCAACGTATTCCAGGCGACAGTGAGTGGAAGGTCACTCGACCAAATATAAACCAAACAAACGAGTACATACTATATATGTAGACACTATATGGACATACATATGTATATACATATACATATATACATATACATATTTACATGTAAGCAACAAGTTTTCCATATATGTATGTATGTACATATTTTCTATGCTAGGTGTGCTCGATTAGCTTTTATATATGTATGTATGTACATATACTATGTTCATGTAATAATACATTATTTATATATATATATATATATATA